TTAATTCTTCCCTCAACCTGCTACACATTTACTTGTAAATTAGTTAGGAGAATTGGGTGTTAGATCAAGATAACAACTTCTAACTGATAAGTTTGAGAATTCTCATTACCTATTGGCTGTATAATGTATGACTAAGGGAGAAGTTACTTGTTAATCACTTCTGACCTCAATATGTGAATTGGGGGTGATATTGTCATGAAAAATTAGACGGCTAGTCACCAAGAGGAATGTAGCACCAGAAACGGTTCTAATAAAAGTAGTTCTCAAAATTTATTATCAAGAACATGGTTAATATCATTGTCACTGTCATCATTATTAAGAAAATTATTATTACCTTTCTTTATGAAGAGAAGCATTTATTGGCTCATGATCAATAAATAATCAAATAATAAATCAGACCATTGGGGCATGACATGGTGGATATGACATGTGGGTATATGAAAAAATCTTGATATAATCATCAAATATTCCAAAAAATGGAAAGAAAAAGTAAGGAACTTAAACCATATTGGTCTAATTTTGTTGATAAATGAAGTTCAGGTGGAGCATTCCCTTGATTCATTACACAGACTTTTGCAAAGAAAAAAATTTTTAAAAATAAAACTGTGTATTTGGGTGCTTTACTTTGGGTAATCTTAAATTTCTGAAAATGTTTTATGTGTTTTTTCATGGTGAACACATAACAAAGCCCCAAAGTTAGACCCAAATATGATTAATTATTCAGACAGGAAGATAATTTGGTTCAATCAACTGAGTTGATAATGAAAATAAGTCACCAAAAAGAGATACTAAAGCTGATGTTTCCAACATTTAGCCCTTCATCAGAGCAAAAGGGGGGCTGGTGCACCTATGTGGGCCTGGTTCCCCTTTTAACTCTACATGCAGTTGAAGTGTCATAAATAGCCAGATAAAGTTGTCAGGATCTTTTTACATAAGTACAAGAAGTAAAGTAGTAATTACCATGTCTCCTTTTTCTCCATCAAGTAAAGACACATCTCCATCAGCTTTTGAACCCTTGAAAGTAAAGTTCAGAAGAATTCACTCGAAGTAATATGGAAAACAAAGCGTAAATGGTTACGAAGTCTGGATCTCTTGCAACAGATTTGCTAAATAATTATGGGCCACCAACTGAGTAATAGCTCAGTTCCCTCTGCGTAGTTTTTAAGTATAAATGTCCAAAGTTCTTATTATTTCTTCCCAGAATTTCACTGACTTACAACGTCTCCTTGAGGTCCTGGTTCACCTTTTACACCCTACAAAAAAAAAATAAATAAATAAAATAATAATAATAAATAAATAAAGGTATTGAAGCATTCATGAGTGACAAATATTTGTAACATGAGCACGGTTGGTACCATTTTGCATAGGGAGACAATACCATAACAAACAGAAACTGTGAAAAATTCTTAACTAACACTGAGATTTTAGTAAGCCCAGTTAGCATCTGTGCAAGACACTGTGGCCCCATGGTTAGTGCACTTGATGCTGGGTCGAGTGGTCTGGGTTCGGGCCCTGACCATGGACATTGTGTTGTGTTCTTAGGGAAGATACTTGACTCTCAAAGTGTGTTTCTTCACCCAAGTGTATAAATGGGTACTGGCAAAAATGTGAGGGGTAACCCTGCGATGGACTGGCATCCCATCCA